TTGATTTATTGTAGAGATGAGGTCTTGCTGCCCAGGCGGGTCTCGAACCTGCGGGCTCAGGCAATCCGCTCACCTCAGCCTCCCAAAGGCGCAGGATTACAGGCTGAGCCACCGAGCCCAGCTTTATTTTATTTTTTTAAAGTGAGAAAGCAGTGTTTGTTGAGAGAACAGAAAAGCTCCCACAGTGGGAGGGGACCCAAAGGGGTTGCCCCCAAAATTATTTTCTAGTCCAGGACCCAATCCATCTACATGTTGTACTTAGTTGTCATGTCTCTTTAAGTCTCCTTTAGTCTGAACAATTCCTCAGTCTATCTTTGTTTTCATGACCTTGATTTTTTTTTTTTGAGTTGGAGTTTCACTCTGTCACCTAGGCTGGAGCAGGAGCAGTGGCACGCTCCTGGCCACCTCAGCCTCATCCTGCTGGGCTCAGGCAATCCTTCTGCCTCAACCTTCCAAGTAGCTGGAACTACAGGCATGTACTACCATGTCTGGCTAATTTTTGATTTATTGTAGAGACGAGGTCTCGGCAAGTTGCCTGGGCTGGTCTCGAACCCGCGGGCTCAGGCAATCCTCTCGCCTCCCAAAGTGCTGGGATGATAGGCTGAGCCACCGCGCCTGGCTGACCTTGACATTTGAAGAGAATTTGTAGATTATTCCTCAGTTTGAGTGGATCTGATGTTTTCTTCCTTTCTCTCTCTCTCTTTTTTGGTAGAGACACGATACCCTGACTGGTCTTAAACTCCTGGGCTCAAGTAATCTTCCTGCCTCGGCCTCTCACAGCACTGGGATTACAAGTATGAGCTATCACCCCTGGCCAAGATGTGATGTTTTCTTGTGGCTTGATTCAGGTTTTATGTTTGGGGCAGGAATACCCAGAAGGGATGGTGTGCCTTCAGCACCTTATATCACGAGGCACAGGATGACCACTTGTTCCATGACTGGTGATGTTCACGTTAATCACTTGGTCAAAGTACTGTCTGCCAAGTTTCTTCACTGTAAGAGTAACGATCTTTTCCCCTGTCATGAGTAAGTGTCTTGTGGGGAGACATGCTGAGACCAAATGGATATCCTGCTTCTCATCAGACCATCACCCACTATATTTAGCATCATCGATGACCCTTGCCTGAACTGCCTGTCATTGTGACGGTTCCCCACAGGGATTTCAGGATTCCCTCCTTCTACTCTTCCTGGCTGGCCCTTGGTTCTAAAGAAGAGCTTCCCTGTTTATTTATTGGTTGGTTTACATCCTTGCAGACT